GGTCTAATGCAACAATTTTGTCCCAAATGGCACAAGCACCAGGAGCTATAGTCAAATGGAATGAGGCGACCATCATAAATCCTTTATCTTCTCCATCTTTGGCGTTGACAGCGGAAAAGTTGCAGATTTATAGGAGTAGATTACAAGAAGGCTGTCTAAATGCGAGGGACGCAGAAAGTCTTCCCTCTGCATGGAAGTTTATGGTTAAGAAGTTTAATAAGGGCTCTAACCAATCAATATAGTAGTTTTATTGAATGTCTTAGTAATTGCATTTATTAATACTTATATATTCATTTGTTGCATTTTTATATATTTTTTTGTTTTTTATATTTTTATTTTTGTTTTATGTTGGTTATTTAATATTTTGTTTTAATTGTACCTTATTTAATTTTGAATTTTGTATTCCATTGATGGAATTTTAATTCAAATGTATTCTAAACCTGAAGATGGCCTGTGAATCAGGCTGAAAACGTTTGTTTGTTTCAAATAAATTATATTTCTCGGCAAGAATAAGGTGTTAAGTATATGTATATGGATTTGCTGAGTACTTTATGATATTAAAAATAAATTGTTTAAATTAGCAATTTATTTATTTTTGTTACCGAATTATAACCAATTCACAGAATCAGAATTGTTACATTTACATTCAAGCAGACATAATGATATTTATTAACCATATAGCTATTAACTGCCTTAATGTTACAATTTACTGTGTATATGATTTATGATATGATAAATGCAAAAATTCTGCTCTGTTTTTGTTTAAAAAAATGAAACAAAAACAAGTATCCATTTGATTGAGTAAACAGATTGGATCAATTAGCAATTAGCTATTACATTACAATTACTTGAAAAGTTCATGATGTATCATCATCAGTATGTTTTGAATTTTCATAATGTAAAAACAAATATTATATTTTAGTAAAATAATCTACAAACAGCTATAAAGTTAAATTATATCATCAAACCATTAAATTTGTTTGATAGTCAACATTAAAATTCAATTAAATCAGATAAACATAAATAATAAAATGCAGAACAGCAACGTGCATGGTGAGCTTCATAGCAGCGAACGAGAGAGGTGTCTGATAGCGATAAAAGTGTTCCAAGGAGATTAGAAGTTATTTGATTTGTGGATCGAAGATTAGAAAGTCTTGAGAGTTGAGGAAAAAGGTTCCTAGTATATTGAGATGACGGGTAGGACCTTAGTTCATAAGAATTGTTGTACATAAGTTAAGTCTTTGAATTTTTGTCAAATTCCAAAGGGGAATAGATCTAAGTTAGCCAATAGATTTTGAGTTTTGTCGGGTTGATTCTTATTGTTGATTTTCTTTGAATAAATTGTTATTTGATTGTTACTAAATTTTGTACATAGTCATTATTAGAATTATTAAATATTGGATGGTTTTTGACTAACTTTGCAATTATTTAATTTGGTGCACGCTTAAAGTCCAGGCCTGGCACATTAACGCAAATCCGCGTAAAGTACACGTTAGGTAACGGCTATTTCCAGCACACAGTTTGTGTCAATAATTGTTATAAAAGGCACAAAAATAAATACAGTACTTTACAATATGATTTTGTGCGTTTTTAACACTTTTCTAATGATATTACAACTTCAACATTTGTGGCAGACAGATGCAAAGTCAAATAAATTGACTTAAACTTGATTTTTATTTTTCCGTATATATATATAAATTTTTTTTTTTTTTTGACAAACAACATATAATCGAGAATGATTTAACTCAAAATGATGTAACCCAAGGTATACTTGTATAATATTTTTAAATGAAATTATCTTTCATGAAATGTCATTAGAACCTAATAATCTTTGCATTTTAAAAGTACTGTATTAAATACACAATAATAATATAAGACTGAAAGTATTAATATTCTATCTGTTAACTTAGAGGTGTTGTGCTGTAACAATTCTTAATAATTTATGTTAAGATAATTTTATTTATAAAATTGTTCTCAATTACTTACAGAATTCCAATCGTGTAAATATGGTAAATATATTCTCCCATTCATATCTACACTTTTAGAAGCTTTAATTTCCATTTCTGGTGTGGGATTGACGTAACACATTGGTGGTGTTTCTGGATGCGCATCTAATATCCATATACATACAGGAATGTTGTATGTGTTACCTATAAATAAAAAAAAAATCAATCAATCAAATCAGATCAATTTTATAAAAATAAATGCATGAAATCTAATCAGTATGTGAGAAAGTTCATAAGCTATTATTTGTAATTATGTATTTCATGTGTTGCATATATAATTTGCAAGTATATTGTTACTTTGAAGAGATAAAAATTCATATTTTAGTCAGAGATAGAATACATTAATCATTTAAAAGTGATATTTCTTTTTTCTTAAACTAGCAGACCCCGCCACGCGTTGTTGTGGCTCAAAATGTATCTATTATAAATGTATAACACTTCCCCCGTGGGGGGGGAATTTTTCGAAAAATTTCTTCTTAGTGTACATTCTCTCGACATACCCTATTAAAATGCAATCAAAAACGCAAAAAACCGCATCTTAAATAGTATAAATAGAAGCAGAGTTCTTCACGGTAAGCCTTAATCCTAACCATCTCCCTTCAGTGGGGGG